CACACACACACACACACACACACACACACACTAACACACACACTAACACTAACACTAACTCAAAATGGATCATAGACCTAAACATAGGAAGTTAAAATTATAAACATAAATTACTTAAACTTAAATCATAAAACTTTTAGACAAAAATGTAGGAGAAAATCTTCAAGTCATGAAAGATTTCTTGGATAAAATACAAAAAGCAAAAGACCTGAAGGAAAAGTTAATAATTTAAAATTCAAAACTTCTGTTTTTCATTAGAAAAATGAAACTATAAGCCACAGAATAGAAAAATATATTCCCAATACATGTATTTTATAATTTTTCAAGGAATTAAAAAAAAATTATTGGTGCATTATAATTATACATAATAGTGGTTTCCATTTTGCTATATTCACCATGCACATAACATAATTTGATCTATCTCATTCCCTTCCCCACTTCCCTTTCCCTTGCTTTACCTATCTAATATACCTATCTTCTATTATTATTATTATTATTATTATTATTATTATTTTAATTAGTGCTGTGTAATTACACACATATAAGCAGATTCACTGTAGTAAATCTGCACATGGATGTAGCATAATTCGGTGTCTTCATTCCCTAGTACTACCCTATGCTCCCTCCTTCCTCCTCATCCCCTCCCTCTATTATCTTCCTTCCATTTTCATCAGAACCCCAACCCTTTTCTCTCTCTCTCTGCCTTCTGCATGTGAGAATAAACATTTGACCCTATACTTTCTGAGTTTGGCTTGTTATAATCCAGAGTATGTAAAGAATTTACACCAGCTTAAGAGAAGCAATAACCCAATAAAAAGATTGGCAAAAAAAAAAAAATCAACAGATGTTTCACAGGAATATACATGAATGACTAACAGCTACCTGAAAAGATTCTCAACATCATTAGGGCATCGGAGAAGTGCAAATTAAAACCACACGGTGAGATACTCTTGTTGTACCAGTTAGAATGACTGAAATAAAAAAAATACAACACCCAATGTTGGTAAGGATTTGGAGCTATAGGAACTCTCCTCTCACACATTTGCCAGGAGGGATGTAAAATTTCGCAAACACTTTGGAAAAACAATTTCCTAAAAATATAAATACGCCCTTCTGTGCATGAAACATGGCAATGTCCTTTCTAGTGTCTGTCCTGTGCATACTCTAGACATGGCTATGTCCGGCATGTGCACAAGGAAACAAGTTCAAAGATTCTCCACACAGCCCTGCTTGTAATAATGAGTAAATGAAAACAAATCGCCCTCCTCGGGGGACTTACAAACTGGTTTATTCATACAGTGGAATACTGTACAATAATTACAATGAATGGCCTGGAGCCCCACAGATCAAGATGGATAAACCTCAAAATCAAAGTCGAGTGAAGAAAATTAGTTGCAATAGGATATGTATTATTTATAGATAAACACATGAACAGTAAAACCATAAAACACAATTTGGTATAAATTACACCAACCTCAAGTTATCAGATATTGTGGGCCTAAGAGATGGGGGAAGGATACAGATGGGGCATGGCCTGTATCTAAAATATTTCAGGGACTGGGGTTGTGGCTCAGTGGTAGAGCACTTGCCCCTTGGTAGAGCACATGCCTCTTTCTTGCTTCTGCATGTGAGAGAAAACAATTGACCATAGAACCACTGGGTTTGAGCCTCAGCACCACATAAAAATAAATAAATAAATAAATGCATAAAGATATTGTGTCCATCTACAACTAAAAAAAAAATAATATTAAAAATACCTTCTTTTAAAACAGTAGAACCAAAGCAAATATGTCAGCATGTTAATGTCTGTTTAATTCCAGTTGTGGGAACACAAGGTTCTATTATATTTTAGAAGTTTCTCTGTTTTTATAAATCGTACCATAAGATAGGTAGAGACGGGTCTGTCCTCAGGTAAAGGGTCAGGGTGCCTGATGGTTTGCTAAGCCTCGCTCTTGGCAATGCAAAGTCCCATGTGACTTCCATTCTGCCTTCCAGAAACGAGTCAGAAAATACACCTGGAGACAACGCCAGAGAGAATGTTGTGCTTGCGATTCTGGAAACTGCAGCTTCCTACATTCGGTAGCTGTCACTTCCACTTCGATTCGTGACAGCAATCAGCAATAAAAGTCTCAGAACCAAAAGGGCCTACGGGCCTGTCTTCAGGAACTGCAGGGACATGGGAACTGGGGAGGCTGTTTCACTCTTCAGCCAGAGCTGGAGAGAGAGCGGAGCAGCAGAGTGGATATGGTTTCAGTTAAAGGGGCAGAAAAAGGATAGTGGGACTCTGGTGTGGGGGAGGGGAGCTGAGTGGACCCTGACAGCAGCCACGATTCTATGTGGACACCTGGGATGTGAAAAACCACATTTGCATACGCATTTATAGAATTCTCCTGAGTCCTACCTTGCTGTGTTATTTCAGCATTCTTTTTTTTTAAAAAAAAATTCAAATTTGTTTTAATTAGTTATATATTACAGTAGAATGCATTTATGCACTTTGATATATTTAAATGGGGTATAGATTCTCATTTTTCTGATTGTACATGTTGTAGAGTGATGTATTAATGTCAGTTTCATTCTACTATCCTTCCTATCCCCATATCCCCTCCCCTCCCTTCACTCCCCTCTACCTAATCTAAAGTAACTCTATTCTTCCCTAGTGCACACACCCCCCCCCAAGAGATGAATGAATAAAGACAATGTGGTATCTATAGTTAATGGAATATTATTCAGCTTTAAAGAAGAATGAAATTATGGCATTTGCCAGTAAATGGATGGAGTTGGGGAATATCATGTTAAGCGAAATAAGCCAATCCCAAAATACGGAAGACTGAATATTTTCTCTGATTTGTGAATGCTATTTCAGTATTCTTTTAAGAGCTCATCCAATATAATACCTTCTAAGTTCCTTGACTTTCTCAACTTGGATGAACATTGCTCTCATTCTTAGATGACCACATTGTACCTACTGCTTATCATCTGCTTCTTCTTAATGTGAAAATTTTAAATCCATCATCTATTTCTCTGCCAATTTTGCTCTTCACTCCCACCGATGTCTCTAGTGTCTTGGATTCCCCATTTTTCTTTCACTTATCAACTACATTTTCCTTCTTGATATTTGAACTTCTTCACTGCTACATTTTAATGTGGCACTCTTTCCAAATCCAATCTCCAGTCTCCATTCCCTGCCCCTAAACGTGCACATCTGAGTAGAGTGGAAGGAAATCCTACAACCACCAGGATGGACTTCATGGGAAATCTGCAGTGTGAAATATGGCCTGAACTTTCAATTCTGTTGAGAGAACTTTTCCTTTGGTTCCTGAAGCATGCACTCCTAGTATTACCACGGAAGGAACTTCACAACAACCTGTTTCTTAATCACGCTTTCCAGTGCCTTTGGCTTTCCACATCACAAAGAATAAGGAGAGGGTGAGGTGTGAGTGAACCATACCCGGGTCCAGACCCACAGGAGGAACTTGCTAATCATCTCTAAGTACGTGACCCTCCTGTCCAAGGTTTGTCATTGGCAGCTCCTTTGGACCTTTGTTCCTTCTGCTCAATTCCCTCCAGATCAACTTCATTCTCTTTTGTTTCTTTTCTTTTGATCTAAATGTTCTCAAGTCTCTCCCATCTTAAAAATAAATTAAAAAAACAAGCAAAAACATTTTTTTAAAATCCTCCACACTTCTTCCTCATTGCTGAGTTCCACATCTCCAATGTGTTTCTCATGGCTAAGTTTCAATGTATACATTTTTAATACTAATTTTTCTAAACTTATACATAACGCCACATACACATCTATACACACGTGTATGTGGCGTGAATGGAGTGAAGGTGTGTGTGTGTGGGTGTGTGTGTGTGTGTGTGTGTACATACCACCCTTCACTTCTCGCATGCCCCACAAATCACAGCCTGCACTTTCGCTATTTCACTGCATCAGTGAAAGTCCTCTGACAAGTCCCCAGTGACCTCAAGGGTCAGGTCCAGTGACTACTTGTCTGTCCTTATTCTCCTGTGCCCCTGACTGCATTTGATACTACTGATCAATCCCCTCTTTCAGGGAATAATCCACTTCCTTTGTGTGATGTGAGATCCCATGATATAGTAAGAAATGTATATTTGTTCTCTGCCTACAGTTCCTGGCACAGAGCTCCTAAGATCCTCCTAATTTCCTAACTGGGGCGCTAGATGCTTCTTTTGTCTCTAATATTTACTTTTCAACCTTGGTTCCTAATACAAAGATCTTAGTCCCTTGGAATTTTCTGGGTGATTAAAGGGCCTGAGGTTCTAATGAGATGTGTCCTGGTGGGTGCCTGCCTGAGTGGGGGCTTGTCACCAGAAGGATCAAAGCCTGATTAGAAGCTTTGAACTTTCTGTCCTACCCCCATCTTCCAGGAGGAGAGTGAGGCCGCAGCCTGAGTCACTTCCCAGCTGTTGACGGTAAGTTGGGGATTTTCTCAGTGCTTCAGTTTCCTCCTATATCAAAAAGGAGTGGTAATAACAGTACCTACGTGTAAAGTTGCTGGAGATCTAAACAAGTGCATGCAGAACATAGAGAGTGGCCCCCAGTAAACCCTCGGCAGCTCATGATCATCACTACGTTACCATTAGCTCCTCGCCATCTTCAAAGCCACCGTGCTCACGAGGATGCTCATCTTCCCTTCCTCGGGCCTTTTGTCCCTTCTCTTCTTTGAGGAGGACTTTCTTAGGACCCTGCCGTGTGGTTCTGGTGCCCAGGTCCTGGTGTGGGAGTGGCCAGGGTGTCTCATAGCAGCCTGGCGAGAAACCAAAGGCATTGGTTAATTGGCTTCTGAGGGAGGCCAGCTGGGCAAGCAAAGTGCTACCAAAGGCCTGCAGGAGAGGGAAACCGGAGCCTGGGTCTGAAAGGGAGGCCCGCCACCGGGTGGATCCAGACAATGAAGAGCTTCTCAAGGTGGAGCTGGAGCTGTTCCCAAGGCAGAACATGAAATCGAATAAAGGGAAAACACTTCACAGCAATAGTCTCCTAATGCAGTGTTTTGCAACCTGTGCTGTATATTAATATCCCCGAGAGGCACTGCAGACCTACCAAAGGCTGGGCCCAGCCCAGGTGGATGTAATCAGAATCTCAGGGTTGGGGTTGGGGGTGCAACTCTTCTTTTTTTTTTTTTTTTTCAATTTCACAAGAAATTCTAATGTGTGGCATGTGTTAAAATTAAGAACCAGTGTCTTAACTGTCCCCCAGTTTCAACCACTTATTCTCCAACTCCACCCTCATCCACGTCATACACATGCACCCAGCTCTCACCGGTTTTGCATAAGGCAAGCTGGTTTGTCAATATCTAGCTTTACAGCTTTCAGGGGCTCTCCATAATCCCACAGGATAAAAACCCCAACTCCCTAACATATAAAAAGCATTTTCTGATGAGGTCATTATCTGATTTTTCCTAGCTCTTAGTTCAGTGATGTCACAGTGGTGGGGACATTTACACCGTGGAAATAGGCAGATGATATAAATTAGAGCTGCCCACTCCTGCCCTGCCGAGTTACTTGTTAAAAAGTGTTTTACCTTCGTATAAAACAGTGATTAACAGAGGTTGGGAAGGTGTATGTGTGATACCGGGAGCTTGCCTTTGATCAGTGCACCTTGTATGCATGTGTGGAAGTATCACACCGAACCCCATCAGCATGCATAATTAATACATGTTCATCATAAATAATTGTTTTAAAAAGTTTTCTAGTGTACCAACTGCTTTCTCCCACATTGAAATGTTAGACACACGCCCTTGAAATATTAGACAACTTGAACTTTTTAGAACAATGTTCAGATGTTGTTTCTTATGATATTTTTGTCTTGCCTTACTAACTGCACACTTTGTACTTATCCTTCTAGTCCCAGCTCAAACATCCCCCTCTTGGTGAATCTTCCTGTCCACCGAGAAGAGCGGGTCACGTCCTTCCCTGGTATGACATTTAGCAATTGTGTTTTTGCTGTGTTTAATAACCTGAATTGTTTGTAGACTCACTTTTCAAAAAGCATACTCTGAAAGGCCATGCCTCACTCATCTTTAGATCCCCCTAACCTACTGTAATTGTAATGCCTGGCACAAAATAGACACTCAATGGTTGTGTTTTTCTTTTTCTTTGTACCAGTGATTGAACCTAGGGGTTCCTAACCACGGAGTCACATCCCCAGTCCTTTTTACTTTTTATTTTGAGACAGGCTCTCACTAGGTTGCCTAGGGCCTCATTAACTTGCTGAGGCTGGCTTTGAATTTGCAATCCTCCTGACTCAGCCTCCTGAGCCGCTGGGATTACAACTGTAAACCACTGCTCCCAGCTCAACAGTTTTTCTTTAATGAACAAATAGCTTAATAAATGGGGATGTGAGTCAACCCAGTTGGAGGGGAATTTTGAGAACAGAGAAGGGCTTGGAGAAATATCAAAATTTCTCATTTTGGAGGGTATTTAATGCCAGATCTGGACTTTGTCTCATAGTAAATGAAGAACCGCTGAAGTTTCTCTGACAAGGGCAGTGACCTGTAAAAGGCCATGTTTACAATGATTAATCTGACAGCAGTCAGTGCTCACGATGGACTTGAGAAAGCAGGAACCAGATGCAGAGACCGCGGTCAAGGACCAGAGCTGCCAACGAAGAGGCAGAACGAGAAGGTGGGCTCAGCTGAGCCACACGGACCACCACGCTGGAATCTGGGGGTGTGTCTGGAGAGCGCGGATGTGATGCTGAGAAGCCCAGAAATAACAGGAAGATTTTGGTTGGTTTGCTCCCCGAAGCACAGAAAACAGAGGGACACATGATGGCTCTCTTCAAATCTTTGACAATTACTCCCAGGGGAACGGGAATTAGCCAATTTATTTCTGTATTCTGAATTGCCTAGAGGTCAGATCTAAGACAAATATAAGGAGAATTTTATGTCCATTAGACATGCCTAAAAATGGAACAGGCTGCCTAAAGAAGCAGTAGGTGCCTTGTCACAGGAAATAATAAGCAGGGCACTTGGTGCAGCTGTTATAAAGGGAATTCAAGAATTAGATCGGGGCACTCTTTTCAGCACTTGAGATTTGATTATTTTAGGATGTTTTTATTCCCTGAGAGTTTCAGTACGTGCAAGTGTGACTTGCACGTACAACGTCTAGCCATTGGAGTTCCTGACCGAGGGCTGAGGAAAATTCAGGGGGCAGAATCAGGTCCAGGGCTGGTGGCATTATATACACCACGATTATTCCAGAGAACACCAACCAATGCCAAAGTCTCTGAGTCCTTCCAGAGACACTAATGGAATATGAGAGGGCATCTGGGGGTCATCAGGGAGATGACCACATCGGCTTTCCTTCCCTTGGTCTTTCTCTTTTCCTCTCCAAGGTGGCTCTCGTGGCCTCAGAAGATGATCTTGCGGTTTCCTCGTCAAACAACAGGGCCTTCCTCAAATTCTTTTTCTCTGGCTCAAAATATCTTCTGCCTCTGTGGCCCTCTTTTGCCATGACATGCCCCTCCACATGTGGTCTTGATCCTCATCTCCTCTCCCACTTCTTCATCTCTCTTGATACCCAATCTTTCTGGTCTAGCAGCCCCAAACATTCACCATCATTCTTATCCTAGAACAACAACAACAACAAAAATCCCAAAATGACTGCTTAGCCTTTCTTCCCCACCCCAGTGAGGGATCTACCCTTGATGACAGGTTTACCCCTCACTCCTTCCTTGCAGTCCTGCTTTGGCCCCAGGGTGACTGAGAGACCCTGTATAATACACAGAAAGAGTGAGATTTGGGCTCAGAAAACTTGGGTTCAGTATCTGGATCAGAGTCACATTTGTTATAAGCAACAGATGAGCTCATAGAATTTTTTTTAAAAGACAATTTAATCCCCCAGAGTTAGTGTCCCTGAAATTGCTGCCACTAAAATGAAGAGAGACACTTTTCGTGTCCCCCCCCCCCTCCATGGCCTTTTCTCCATTCTGAGATCATAACTTCTTGGCCACAGTTGAACGTCCTGGCCCTGCCCTCCTCTGTGAAACGCTTTATTCCCAGGGTTTCCTCTTCATTTGTTTCTAGTGGATTAACATCTTTTCCCCAGTTCCCTCTCTGGTTCCTCTCTGCCCCAATGTCAATATTCCAATATGTTCTCTTCCCTTTTCTGCTGTTAGCCTTTCACTCCTAAGTGCTGTTATTCTTTCACTTAGAATTGGAAAAATAATCTCTCTCTCCCAAGGATCCAACTATCCCTTCTGGGTGTACAACCAGCCCAGACATCTCTCCTAAGCTTTGGGCCAAGGTTTACCATCCTGCTGGATTTCTCCTCTGGTTTTCCTGCCAGGATCTCAAACTCTTCACTGTTGTCACAAGGTAAATCAATACATCTTTGTAGGGCCTCTGACAAAGTGGCTTGAAAAGGCCAGGCACTGGAAGGTTATTGGCTGGCTTTGCAAAGGAGGCACTTATCATCAGGGACCATCTCCCAAATGCCAATCAGAGAGAACAATCCCTTTTATGTAAACTTCATGTTGTAAATTATAGCATCTGCATACCAAGTAGAAGGTGGTACTATCCACTCCCAAAGCTCTGGGTACTGCTAAGGCATTTTACAGACTGAGAACCCTTGGATCGTACCTGTTTCTCTAGGTTCTAGACCCATTCTCTACTTGCCCCTTTGTATGGCCAGGTAACTGCCAAACTGACTTACTTGGTCCCTCCCAAAGCCTCCCTAATGGGTAAAAAAAAAAAAAATGTGATCGTCAAAAGAGTAATAAGAACAATTCTTATCTGGTATCCTTTTCTTGACCTGAACCAAAGAAAACCATCAATCTGGTCCACAAATTCAGTCTCTCATGAAAATTCTGTGTCACATCAAATATTAAAAATCCATTCTTCTATCATAGAAAACACACACAAACTTTCTGTAATTTATGTAAGTGATGTATAATGTAATAACTGTTAGTTTTATTTCCCTGCTTCCTGTTTCTCTATCAGACTGTTTGTGGCATGGGGACAGGGGCTCTGTAATTCTCATTTTTATAACCCAACACTATGCCTTATTCACCAATGCACCCATACACATATGAAATTCTACATTCTACATTAAGTAGAAAATATCTAGGTGGGTGGTATGGGAACATTGGTTTTAAAATAGGATCAAGAAGGATCATACATGGTGTTTTTGTATTAAATGGAGAGGGTCATTCTCCACATAGTATGTTGTGGTTGGGTCTGAAGGGACCAACCCCTGATACTCACCTGTTAGTCCCAGGGAACTCTTTCTGGTCCCATCAGTGTGGTTGTCTCACTGCTTTGCATTGACCAGGACCCATTCTCTACTAGCCCCTTGGTATGGCCAGGTAACTGCCAAAGAGTGGTGTGCTGGGGGCAGCTCCCATCGGCTAGTGACACGCCACTGTGCAATCTCCTCCCCAGTCTGTGCCATGATATTGGGTTGGCAGATTTAAAATGGCAATGTGGGAGTATTTACATCATGGAGACTGGCAAACACTACAAGTCAGGGCTTTCTTTTCCCCCAGAGAGCCAGCTGTAAAACATTTACCAGCATACCACCGTTGCCAACAGTGTTCCTCTTTATCTTTTTGCATGACCGGCTTTTCTAATCCATAAATTTCAGCTCAGATATCACCTCTTTCAAAAGATATTTTTTATTTTGAAGTTACCCCCCCAACCCACCCACACACAGTCCAATCACTTTCTATATCACTTTTTCCTTTGGAGCGTTTATTTCAATCTGTAATAACCTTTTGCATGTATTTCATGTACTGGTTTATTGTTCATCTTTCTCCTTAGAAATCTTGCCTTGTCTCATTCATTGCTATATTCCAGCATCTAATACAAGCCCAGCACACAGTTG